ATAAAAATGATACCTTATGTTGGGGCCGGTCTGGTGGCGCCCTGCTACAGTGCACCGTTTGGGAAGTGCGGCGGCGCTCCCGCCGAGGGGTCAGATCCCACATACAGACCGGTTCCCGCTCACTGGCTGAGCGAGGTGTGGGAGCAACACCGAGGGTTGCGATCCCGTTGCCGGTCCCGGTCCGGTACGGGCGCAACACTGAGGGTTGCGATCCGTTGCCGGACACGAAAAAAAAAAAAAAGAATGATACCATATTTTAATATTAGAAGACAATCCTATGCATAACATTGGGAAACCTCAAGAGAGTTTTATATTTACAAAAATATATAATATCAAAAAAAACAACAATATGTAGGAAAATGAAACCAATCAATAACAATTAAAATAGTTCCTAAAGAATGATTGCCACTAGACAGAGAAAGATTTATGGATGAATTTTGAAAAACTCCGAGGACTAGGTAATACTTGTGTATCAGGGGTATATCAAGGACCATGATATACAACCTCTTCCAGATCACAAAAATGCCAAGTTACTGAATTTATTGTGGGTTGTTGTAATCCCAAATAATTACTTATAATAAAGAAAAAAATAAGACTAAGAACGCTCTTTCTTTTGAAGATGGATTTGAAAATACTAACTGGATTCCTGGCAGATAGAATTCAACTATACAACAGTGAGTAGAAGACAAATAGATTACTTAAGCTTCCTATACCTCAATTCCCTCATCTGCAACTTGGGAAGTATAATAGTAACTACCTCATAAGATTGCTGTGGGGATTAAATGAGTTAATATTTGTAAAATACTTAGAACAGTGCATATATGCACCCTATATTAGTGATACAGACGAACATGTAATCTAGAAATGGAAGTTTATTATATCTCACCAAGAAAAAAATAACATTCATTGGTATAGGACAGGTCAGTTGTAGAGGATGTTTTGTATTCATATATCAGAATGCAGTAAAGTACTGATTGAGATATTTTCCTTACCCTTTGGGGTTACTAATTAGTCCAGGAATTATGGTGACTTACTACACTCTTGAGAAATATTTACCAAATTCTCTGGGGCCAAGTTCATAGAAGAAAATTCTAGGCTATGATTCCCTGAATTCCCCATGTGGATGTCTGCTTAGCAACTGGGTTTGATGTCCTGCCTAATACTACCAAAATAGAGGAAGGAAAATTAGGGCGAGGTGGCCCAGTGGTGTGACCAGGCCAGGAGGACAAAGACACCTCATCTCAAGTCCTGGCATTATAGAAATTGAATCCCACCTGTACTTTGGCTCCAGAGTTGAGTTGCAATGGCCAATGAGAAAGTCAGTGAGATATGGACTATTGAAGCAGTCCTTGGGAGAGGGGATGGGGTTGGAGGGATGGAATTTAGCCAATAGATGAAGTCTTCCAAGGGACCATCAATGTTTACTGGAACTACTTAGGACTGACATCATTGTCAGTGGAACTTATTGTGGTCACTCCCTGGTCTTAACGTGCTTATGAAAAGAAGCAAGATCATTTATAGTGGAAGGGAACAGCAAACTTCACAGTTTTTGACTGCCTGCCCTCCTTTTCAGACACCAGAGAGGTAAGTAGAAGGATGGAAGCATAGAGTTCAAGAGAGCAGATTGTGCCTTCTACACCCACACACTGCTTCCTACATGTCCTGCATAAGGGAGAAGAGGACTGTTTAATAACTGAATGTCCAAAATGCCATGGAATTGGATGGAGATGTACTCAGTGGAAAGGGGGGTTTTCAATAGAGTACAATTAACAGTTATTAAGGAAAAAAGACCCTTTGAGTACATACTTTTTTTTTTTTTTTTTTTTGTCTTTTGTCTTTTTCCGTGTCCGGCAACGGATCGCAACCCTCAGTGTTGCCCCCGTACCGGACCGGGGACCGGCAACGGGATTGCAACCCTCGGTGTTGCCCCCGCGCCTCGCTCAGCCAGTGAGCAGGAACCGGTCTGTATGTGGGATCCGAACCCTCGGGCGGCAGCGCCGCCACGCTTCCCAAGCGGCGCGCTTATCCAGTGCGCCACCGGGCTGGCCCGAGTACATACTTTTAATGATTTGAGACTTCTCACTAAACCAGTTACATATTTTATGTAATCCTCAAAATGATCTATCATGAACAGTTAGTATTAGCTCCATTTTACAGAATGCGGAAAAAGACCCAGGAGGGAAGCCTGTACAAGAAGAAAGAGCTGGAATTCAGCACTGATCCACCTGACTCCAAAGCCCATGCTTTTTCCACCACACTCTTTAACGTGTTGCAAAATGAAATTAGATTTTTCTTCAGATGTCATGTGAGAAGGAAGAACCTAATTATAGGATTTCTGTATAGTGTTTAGGGTTCTGCTAAGATTGGAAACCATGTGATGGTCTGTGGTGGGGTATGATTTTCTTAAGCTGCAGCCAGCAGTTTGAGTATAGAAATAAAGACAGATAGGGCTGGCCCGGTGGTGCACTGCTTCAGTGCGCCGCTTGGGAGCGCGTCGGCGCTCCCGCCGAGGGTTCAGATCCCACATACAGACCGGCCGCTCACTGGCTGAGCGAGGTGCGGGCGCAACACCGAGGGTTGCGATCCCGTTGCCGGTCCCGGTCTGGTACGGG